TTTACTTTAAAAATTTTAAATAAAAAAACTCTAATAGAAAATAGTATGGTTTAACGTGGAAACTAGAAAAGACGTGGGTTTCACTTAAAACCAACGCCGTCCACTAATGTTGGGACCCACCCATCTAGAACCACCTTATTGATGTTATCGACGAATTTCCGCTCTCCCATTTGAAAAACTTTTAGGTATTTTTAATCTGCTCGAATAAAGAGGTGTGGACTGTGGAGACAACCTGGACTCGCACATTCTTTTGTTTATCTGTTCATCTTTGACCTTTGACTGCCCACTGTCCACTCGGACCAGCCCCCACCACCCCTCTAATCTCAGACAACTCAACCTAATTATTAATTTTTCACACTTTACTTTTCCATTCCTACTTTTTAGTCTTTTCAATTTACTCCTACTGTTGTAAATAAATTGAATTATTTGCAAGTTATTTGACTTGAGTTTGATCATACTTAACTCGAGTCACAATTGAGTTTGAGTTTGAATTTTAGCTTAAAATTTTGAATTGAGTTTGATGTGCATTTAAATTTTAATTCAATTCAATTTAATTATATTAAAAAATAATTATATATTAATTTAAAATTATAATTTTATTATAATTTAAATATTAAATTAAATGTAAATACTTAATTGACTTCACAAGTTGAATTTAAATTGTTAAATATTTAAATAATTTAATAGTAATATCTTTTCGTAAAAAAAAAATCTTAAATTAAAATTGGATAACATACGAATAGTAAAATGTGATAAGAAATTATTACTTCTCATTATGCATTAAAAAAAAAGTTGAATTTGAATTCAATGTATTTAAACTCAAATCTACTCATTTATGGTCCTATTTACTCCCCAATATTTTCAGAATTATATTCGTATTTAATGATGTATGAGAATTGGGTGGGATCATATCATTATTAATGCAATAGTTTCCATCAAAATACCTCTTTCATCACTTTTTAGTTTTTTTCAATTTGCTACCCAACCTTTTCTGTATTAGTTTTTTATTTAACAATAATGCATGAGAATCAAGTTACTTGCTATTTACTAAATACTTTGGTTTATTTATTTCACTCCAATTTAAATTGTAAACAATGTAAGGAAAAGTGGTTCTAGCTAGATTTCTTCTAATTAAAGGCATTTTTTATGAAAAGCTGCTCTTTTTAGTTGCTTTTTAAAGCAATCTTTTGGATGTCATGTTCAATCTAATTATGCCCATCTCGTCAATAACAATTTCCTTGGGTAAAACTTTTTTTTTTTTTAAGTAAAAGACTAATTAAGGTTTTTTGTTTAAAGGATAATTTTTCAAAATTTTATATCTAAGTTTGAAATCTTTTATATACCAAAAGGATATGTTAGGAATAAAATAAAAACATGTTTAAAAATTATAAAATGAATTAGAATCGATTTATATATAATTTTTATACTATGTAAATTATTTATATAAAATATTAATTATTTTTCTCTTTATTATAAATTATTAAATTTTATTTACATTTTATGATATATATTTTTTAAATTAAGACTTATTTGTAAATATTATGTGTAAAAGAAAGGTAGTTCTCATAAAATAGGTTAAAGTAAAAATGATAAAGTCTTAATAAGAACCTTTAATGTTCTTTAATAGTAATAAAAGGTAAGACAATTAAATAAAAAATACTTATATTTAATATATGTGACAACCTGATATGAAAATGATATAATCACTTGATATAATAAATGCATAATTATAATAATTTTATATAATTATTTTTTATTAAAAAAATTTTATTTATGATATTATATATATGTAGAGAAACATTCTTAATACATATTTTTTTTATTCAAAAAATTTAAATTTAAAATCTCATTTAAAAAAATTAAAAATTTTTACTTATATCAATGTATCATTGGTAATTATAATTTTATTTATTACTAAATAAAAATAAAAAGAGTATAAAAATTAATAATTTATTCATATTGACCCTATTTTATATTTGGTATTTTTATTATTAACGAAAACAATGTTGAAAATAAAAATCCTAATCCACTGACCAAAAGGAAGCTTTCTCTTCTGCATGGTCGGAAGTCTTGGTCTAGCTTTATAACGCAAAGAAGGTACACTTTAGAGACTCCCGTTACTATTTGGTTTCCTTTTTTTGCAGTCACAGACCACGATTTGACACAACGACCAGACTGTAAAGCACCTACCAACATGATGTTGTTGCTAATCTCTCCAACTATTAGCCAGTAAAAAGCATTGACACACAAACAGTTTCCCCTTAAAAAACAAAAAGAAAAACAAATGTTAGTGGCGCAGTGTATTTAAAACTATTTCTCACTAATCACAATCCGAGCAAGTAACTCACTTAAGTTATTAACTGTTGATTTATAAATTTAGTAGTTAAAAATTATACCATTACATCACAAGACCACTACTCCCTAATCATGTTTTACTGTTCATCATTCACAATCAGTGAATACTACCATTCTTTTAGTGAGGCCAATTCCTCCGTCTCATTAAGAACCCTAATGATTATAGGACTTATTTAATAACAATATGTATAGAATGGACTGAATAATAATTAATAATCTATTTGGTTTAAAGCAAAAGTAAAGAAAATAATTCTATATTTAATTAAAAAAAATTATTTTTTTCAATTCTTTTATCTCTCTAAATAAGAAAAGAAAAAAAAGAAAGAAATGCAAGGAAACGAATGAATACAACGTCCTTCCATTCACTTTCCTTCTTCTTCTTTCTCTATTTTTCTCGAATCCAACGTATTATTACTGTTAGATTTGAAAATTAACAATTGATAACTTTTACCAAGAAAACATAACGACTGCAAAATGTAAGGGCATAACTGCAAAAAACGAACTCCAGACAATCAATGATAATCTCAGAAACAGTAAAGCAATATTGCGTTTGATGTAAACAGAAGTTAGATTTTAAGAAAGTGGAACCCACCAGTCGCACATTTCGTTTGACCAGACCTCCCTTCACTCTGGGTTAGGTTCCAAACCCATAAATCCCCACACGTGTGGTCCTGGCCCTGGGAGTCAGATAAGAGCAGACCCAACCCACCCAGCTTGCTTCAGAGTTCAGTCCCACCATCCCCCTTCCCTTCCCCTGCTGTTCAGTACTTTGTTCCCTCTGTTTTCCCCCATATAACAGCAAGACAAAATCCCTTACCAAAACACCACACAGAATTTGCAGTCTCCGCACCAATATCTGGAGATGCCTGCAAGCTTGGAGCCACTGGATTTGGGTGTCCAAATTCCTTACCATTTCCGTTGTCCGATCTCTCTCGAGCTCATGCGTGACCCTGTCACTGTCTGCACCGGCCAGACTTACGACCGCGCTAGCATCGAGTCCTGGGTGGCCACCGGGAACTCCACCTGTCCTGTTACTCGCGCTACGCTAACTGATTTCACGCTCATCCCTAATCACACCCTCCGCCGTTTAATCCAGGACTGGTGCGTCGCGAACCGGGCGTTTGGAATCGAGCGAATTCCGACTCCGAAGCAGCCTGCTGAACCGGCCTTGGTTCGCTCCTTGCTTAATCAAGCTTCGTCCAAGTCGAATCCTTACCAGTCTCGTCTCTCTGCGCTACGTCGGCTCAGGGGACTCGCTCGTGACTCGGATAAAAACCGTTCTCTGATTTCCTCTCATAACGCGCGGGAAATCTTGATTAATGTTATCTTCTCGGATTCGGAATCGGATGCGTCCGAGTTGAGTCTCGAGTCGCTCGCTCTGCTGGTTATGTTTCAACTCACCGAATCAGAATGCGCTTCGATTGCTTCACAGCCGGAACGAGTCGGTTATTTATCAAATCTATTGTTTCATTCCTCCATCGAAGTCCGAGTCAACTCAGCGGCACTGATCGAAATTGTTGTCGCCGGAACGAAATCCTCAGATCTTCGAGCGGAGATCAGCAATGTAGACGAAATCTTCGAAGGAGTCACGGATATATTAAGAAATCTAAATTCATATCCACCGGCGCTTAAAATTAGCATTCGAGCTTTGTTCGCCTTGTGCCTGATGAAGCCGACCAGACAAAAGGCAGTTTCCGCTGGTGCGGCGGAGACGCTTGTGGACCGCTTAGCAGATTTGGATAAATGCGACGCAGAGCGAGCTCTGGCGACGATAGAGTTGCTCTGCAGAATCCCGACAGGGTGCGCGGCTCTAGCGGCACACGCGCTGACGGTGCCTCTGCTGGTGAAGAAAATTCTGAAGATCTCAGATCGCGCGACAGAATACGCAGCAGGAGCGCTTCTATCACTTTGCTCGGCGTCAGAACAGAGCCAGAGGGAGGCAGTCGGCGCAGGTGTACTAACGCAGCTACTGCTGCTGGTGCAGAGCGATTGCACAGAGAGAGCGAAAAGGAAGGCGCAGATGTTGTTGAAGCAGCTTCGGGACTCGTGGCCGGAAGATTCCATCGGAAATTCGGATGATTTTGTTTGCAGTGAGGTCGTACCCTTCTGATTGGAAAAAAATAAAATAAAATCTGAATTTTTCTTCTCATTATTAGCGTTTTTTTTTCTTTTTTTCTTTTTTAAGGAAAATTCAGTTTTTAGTTAGTATTTTAGATGGGTATATAGAGGATTGTAATTGTGTATGTAATTTTTGTATCTAAGATTTTTGTTGAAAGTTGGAACAAATGAAAATGAAATGATAGAAATCTGTTTGTTATATTTTGTTTGATTGGCTCTTTGGTTTTTATGAAGGAATTCTGGTTCAAAATCTGATTTGAAATGTTGGTTTTTGAAAATAGCAGTGTTGCATATAAGGATGAGGATCTGGATTTGAATTGTATGATATATGAGTAAGACGTTTTTATATGAATATTTAGTTTAAATTATATAATATATGAATAAGATGTGTTAAGAACTTGATAATGGCCATGTATATATATAATTTTAATTTTAATTACGTGATATATGCGAGTAGGATGGGTAAAAAATAAGAAGGCGAAATAGAAGAAGAGGTTAGGTTTCTGTTGATGTCTATACAGCTCGTTAGCCAGATACCTACTTCGCAAGGGACAATGAAATGAACTAACCTTTTCCTTTTAAAATTTATTCAATTTTTTTTTTTAAAACACACTTTTTACAGCTCATGGTTGATTTCCAAAAGCTGAAAAGATATACACTGTAACGGGCATATATCATAAGCTTGAACAGAATCGATTGATTTCCAGTTGCTCTGCTCTTACTCTCCAAGGTGAATTTCGCCCATAATCTTTTACGTTTGATTCCATTGTTGCGTTTATCCAAACACGTAGATTTATCTGTTTTTAGTGTCTGCTGTTATTTAGTGTTTTCTATGTCTGGTTCTGGTTTTGTGTTCTGCATTTTTTTTTTCTTTAATTATGGGGTGTACCTGAACTATCTTTAATTTTATTATATTATATCATGTTTGGTTGGCCAATAAGAAAAACAGTGGAATTGGCCACCTGATTTACTTTACTTATTTATTAATCAAAGATTCAATTTTTGCATAAGGTTTTTATGTTGATAAACTTTTGTGAATTTATTAATCTTTATGGGAATGACCTAACCTGTTTGATGGGATAAATGAGGTTTAAAGAAATAGCCTAGTTGCCACTTGAGAAGAAACTAGTTGTTATTCATATTCCAATCTAACCAAACTCATTTCCCCACTCCCCATTGTACTAATTGCCCCTTTTCAAAAAAAAAAAAAAAAATTGTTATTACCTTTTATCTTTTGTCAAGATTTTTATAGTAAGTTCTAACGTGGCCAACTCTTGATGGGTTTTGCTTTTATTCTTTGGTCATTTTCTCCTTTTGGACAAAGAAACATAAAATGGGGACTGTTCAATAGGAAGTTTGACCAAAGATTGCAAAAGATAGGGGCGTGCTGGACCAAAAAGGTCCACAAGATAATAATGACAACTAAAAATTTTTGAATTAGGTTGTGTTTGTGTGGCTTAAAGATGTGGGAGATGATCATCACATGTTGGAGGTGGGCATAAGACCATGGAATCACATGGCATGGTTTCTTATTCTTCATTTTCCTTTCTCATGTGTGATGGATGCCTCACATGCCCTAAACCCAACTTTGTTCCTACCCTTTTGGTCACTACAACAAATGGGGAAAATTCCTTTGTCTTTGTACTCTAAGAGTTGTAGCATTTGGGTCCCAACATTTAATGTCTCCCTCTTAACTTATGTGGGTGTTTTTGGCATTCTTGATTTACCCATGTGCTTCCACTCATGCTCTTCTTTACCTTGTATTGTGTATTGGAAAGATGCCATTTTTCCACTCATGAAAGTTCTCTGGCAGGGTGGCAGTGAAATGTGGACTTTTTGTGATATGCCTTTTGTTTCTCTGTTTATAAGTAAATTGTGACATGTAATTAATGTTTGAAAAAAGCGTTTTTACATTAAATTACACAATAAAAATACAATTTAATTTATAAATTTATTAAAATATTGTTAATAAAACTCTTTTTTTTTGTTATTTTATTAATAACATTTTAATATTAATCGAACAACACTTTTATTGTATAATATCACTTGAAAAATACCAAACTTTTAATGTTTTATCTGTTCACTCTATATGTAATTATATATATATATATATATATATATATATAGGAGGATTTCAAGTCTTCAACCTCCAAGAAAACCATCTATGGTTTTTTTTATGAAGTCAAGATTTCACTGATTTGGTATTTATAATTTTGATTTTTTAGTATAATTAATGATGAGTTATGTAATTAGGTGCGGCTCTTCATCAAATTCCTTCCCACACATTTTAAGGTTCATAAACATGCATGATAAAAGATCCTAGCGTCTCTTTATTATTTAACAAGGATTGATATATAAGATGCAACGTTTGGTAGGTCTTTATTGCTAGCTACATCCTTAATTTGATCCTGAAATGCAGAACTTGATGCAGAAACTGTGTTTGAAATGGTGTAGCTGAGATCATTTTATTGCCTAAGAGAAAGGGGTTTTGTTCCTTTACGCTTACTGATTGGTTCTTAAATCGAAGGGAATGCATTATAACTGTGATTTATAGCTGTTTCGGTGCTATACACAGTTCAGTTATCTGCTACCCTTTCTTGTATTGCTGTTGTGGGCTTCACATTGAATATGGGTAGGTGTTGGGGGGAGGATACAAAATGCATGGGGCCGATGGTGTATTTGAGCAGAAGGGACAGCGAATGTTTGTTTTATGTAAGGGTTGAACTACATTCCCCGATCGTCGTATAAATAAACATGAACAAAAATCACATCATCTTGATCTTGAGCTTCTCCAACACAGCAAGTGGTGGTGCAGAGGCCATGCACAGTTCTTTAATACTGCAGTAACTGCACAGATGCCCATCCGTGCTTTTCATCGCCACAGAGATTGGTAACAACATTGGAGGATGTCCATGTCTGAAATTTAAATGGAAATCTAGGAACCGTAGGTTGGTTCGGAAAACCGGTTGAAGGTAGGAGTAAAACGAAGGAAAAACTACTCTCCTGCGTCTCCTGGAAAAGTAGGAACAAAGTGAAGCAAAAAACTAGGTCCATATTTTTCTTTTGCTTTGTATATTAAGCTGCAGGTTGTTACTATAATAAAGAACTATTCATACCATTCTAAAATGCTTGATATTGTCAGTAATATTATTTCAAAGTACGATTATGATTGTCGCTTCACTTTGAAGTGCCAATCATTTTGTCGCTCATGCTGAATTCATAACATTGACAGCATCTCCATCTACATTTTAGTTGTAATGAAGTTCATGAACAAGTAAAACCAATTTGAAAAGGATATTGTCCATCCTATTATGAGATGATACATGACAGGAAAAAAATAAAATTCTTACTCTTAACAATGACCTTCTCGCTCTTGTTTAAGCAAGGCTGTTGTCTTGCAGATGGGGCAGAGATTTTTCTGCAAAAGCCATTGTTTGATACAGTTGGTGTGAAATTCGTGACCGCAATCTAATACCCCGAGATCATCCCCTTCCACAAATTCCTCCTGCCAAAAATGGTTTAAGAAGGTGAGACAATGAAGCTAAAGCAATTTAAAGCTGCCATCTAGATTACTTTTTAACTCATACCTGGCAAACACAGCATGGTTCAACATCTTGTGAGGGTCGTGTTGCAGTTGACCTGTATTTTTGCTGCTTCATCAACTCCAAAATGGTTTCCTCGCTCAGTCCAGTGTTCACATCCCCTATTCGTTCTTCTAATGCTAACAATTCCTGATAGTCCAGTTGTTGGCATAAGGGGAATGACCTTAACTGTTTAGAGTTAAGAAACAGAAAGGGAAGTAGGAAGTCCTTTTTACCTCATAAGACATGTTATCCACATCAAGGCGCATATCTCTGTGCCTGTCATGCATTTCAGCCATGCCATGGAATACGAATGGGTCAAAAAGCATATAATCCTGAAAGATCACTGATCAAGGTCAAATGTTGCACAGAATCAGATGATGTTGGTACAAATCAAGCATTGTCCCTGGACACTGAAATCACTTGTGACATTATTCAATTGGCAAATTTGCAAGCTATTAGGTATAACAACAATTAAATCGTCTCTTTCATTTCTCTTGAAGACACCAAAAAATTAACTTACTGTAGGGCTTAATTGCTTTAAAGCTGCAGATTGTTAAGATCTGATGCCCATTACAGTAAATTACAGTGAGAACATTTTAAAGAAACAGTCTCTTAAGAGTTCTGTAACAGAACCTTAATTTTATTAACAATGCATATAGCCAGTTCAACTCAAATCAACTAAGACTCAATCCCAAATTGATTGGATCAGCTATACCATCCATTTTCTTCATTTCATTGGACTTCACAGTCACTAGAATATCTAACAAGGCTTAATCCTTCCTTTTCAATTTTCAGCCCAAGCAATCTTCAGTTTCAACTTGCATATGAGCCATATGGCCTTTGACCACAAGATATAGTGTTTTTAACCGGATAAAAAGCGAAGGAAACTATCAAAGCATACCCCAAAAAAAAAAAAAATCTCTAACCTTGAAACACAACATATTATGAAAATGTCAAGGTAACAAAATTAGAACAATTACACAAGTCAAAACCAAACCTCAATTCGTAGGTTCTCCCCTCTGTTCATGGCATTCAAGACTTGACGAATCTGGTACATGGGGAAGAAATTGAGCAAATTCAATCAGTTAAACAATCAATTTTACTAGCAAAACATTAATTTCTAAGACTTGAGAAGACTACCTAATAACATTGCTTTGCATAATTAAGACAACATAATCTATCATTAATTGATTGATTATTTGAAAATAATTGCCCTTTTCACTTTCTTGATGATAAGAATTAACCTATTTGGATTGCAACAACAAACAACTTCAGAAGTAATTATTAGGGAAATCCATTGCCCTTCCATGTTATCTAATGCCCTTTTACAACAAAGAAAATGAAAACCCATCATCCTTGTATAAAGCATTTGGAGAATTGCCTTTTTTTTTTTTTCCTTTTTCTTTTCCATGAAAACTGAAAAATCTAAAGACTTATGATATCTAAGGAACTTTTCTTTAGTCCAAGTGAGCATTTCATATTAATTTTGCAAAAAAATAAAATAAAAAGAACAACACAGATCCATCAGGACATCCATGGAACTTGCAATTTCAGCTCCAATTAACACTCAACAAGATGCTGCTATGCAGGCTGCATGATTTATACTGGCAACATGCAATTTATCTATCCCTCCATCACCTATTGGAATTGATGAGAGAAGATAGCAAACAAAACTATGCAAAAGCAATGACAAATTGGGTGTGTTTTTTTGGTTTGGCTAATTTTATCATCCAATAGCTTTTTTCCTTAACAACTGGTTAGGGCGTCTGGAAACATCAGTCCACAGGCTGATTTTAAGTTATTAAGTAATAGATATTAGTTGTTCTAACAGCTACAGCTATTAGCTATTCCTAACTGCCAAACCAAACAAAACCATTATGTCTTCAACTTTTCTATTGATAAAAAATAAAATAAAATGCCAATCATGAAACTTTCCCATTCAAATAACTTTCTACAAGCAAGATTTACTCCACGCTACATCCCAAACAAAAGGAATACCTTAATATGACCTCAATCCACCAAAGGATGGCTCAAAGAAAAAAGCTACTAGCATCTTCCTCAAATACTTGGTATGTCAACTTCAAACAATTACTCCCCTTTAGTTTCAATGTATTTGTAACATCTAAAACCAACTAACAATTGGTGTAGTCTACATTCATATTTAAGTCCACAGCTTTTCCCTTACAATTAACTGATGTGAAATTTTCACACTTAATAAGTCCTCTTGTGTGCAGGTCCACTAGGCCTCCACATGAACATTCTCCAAGCCACTGTCATCTCACCTTGGGTTGCATGTCATGGCTTTCAAACTTGCAGCAACTCTCTTAGGTTGCACAACTGAGCTGGCTTGCAATGCTCTCCCCTAGGTTGCGCACTAATTAGGCTTGTAGCAACCACCCTTGGGTTGTCCACAAAACTTAGTCCTAGGTCTTGATACTATGTAAACATCCACCTAAAACTATTGGCAATAAGTGGGGTCATCCACATTGTTTTTAAGTGCAGAGGTTTTGCCTTAAATTCTCCACTCCATAACATCACCACACTCCTACAACATAAGCACCAGAGTCCCTGTGGGAAATATCCCAGAAAGTAGAAACTAAAGGTTGGCTAAAATCTAATAACCAAAAAGCAAGATCTCACCTAATGCTCTACAGAATTGGCTAATCTCCGTCTCTTATATTGAGGAATAGGGAAAACAATTTATATAACCAAAGTAACATTAATTAAGTTGAAAAAAATTGGAGATCAATTAACTGAACCTGCACAAGCAATTTCTTTTGACAATCCAATGGGAATAATGGTAATTAAAAGAAATAAATTCCAAATGCCTACAAAAGAATTGTAAAATGAGGGAGATGATGAGAACAATATAAACAAAGATGTGAGAACCAAAGTGACAAATTTTTAGATTTGAGAAAAAACAAGATACAGGAATGGCAATATTGTGGTGAAGACCATAACATGATGCCTATCAGTGTATAACTATGGAAATTGTAGAAATGCTAGGGGAATCTCATTATCATGAAGACCATAGCATGATGCACATCAATGTATAACTATGGAAATTGTAGAAAATAGAAATGCTAGTGAATCTAAAAACCAAATATCAGCATTATGTGATTACAGATTTTAATGAGAAAAATCCAAATGAAAGTAACCTTAGACTTACGTATGCACTGTGAGAGCAAAGTTCAGAATGTCAAAATTATTCAGTACACATACCTCTGATATTAACCGGTGTCTCCCTTCGATGTCAGCAGCTAAAGCTCGCAAAGAATGAGGCATTCCAAGAATTTCATCACCTTGCCTCTCCCACAGGAATGATGACCTTGAATGTGGTTGATTATTACCTTGGCTACGAGATCCAGATGACCCTGCTGTCTCTTGTGAGGACGAAGAAGGGCCTGCAGGCAGCTGGGGAAAATTACCAATATGAACAGCAGCTTCAGAGTCAATAGATGGAAATAAAGACCAAGGAGAAAATTCTGATAATCTTGGCTGATTTTGTGCTGAAGTGGAGTGTAAAGAAACCCAAGGACTATGGGGAGAATTGATGCTTGAACTGTTTCCAGTTTGAGCAGAAGATGGAACACCACCAGATGTGGTAATGTTACCAGAGGACAGAGTCCAGCCTGTTGGATCTTGTGCCATGTTTCTTGTCTCACTTGCAGGAATCAATATGGGATTTTGTGCATTGCTTCTGGGGATGTTTCTTATGTTCACTTCCTCCTGCGAGCCTTCACCTCTATCTCCAGCATTAATAGATGGATTTCCAGCTTGTGAACTGAAAGCACCAGTCCAACGAAAAGGAGGCACATTGCTTGATGCAGCAGAAATATGCACTCTGTGAGGTTGATTCTGAGCAGAAGTTGAATTTGCAACAACTGTAGCTGTGGATCTTAAATCTAAAGAGTTATTATATGGTGCAGGTGTAGGTGACTGATTAGATGAGGAGGACCGTCTGGAGAATGCTGATGATGATAGACTAAGCGGCAAAGAATCTTGTTGATTTCCTGGATTTGTTCTTCTACTACTTGAAGATGGAAAAGCATCAGTGGCTACTTCTCTTAAACCAAACCCAACACTCAAGTTCAGCTGATCAGGAGGAATAGCTTGAGGTGTAGATAAACTCAAACTGCTAGAAGCATCATTCCGAGGAAGACCTGTATGCCATGAACCATTTTCAACTTGTTGGGAGCAGCTTGAATTAACATCAGAATAAGACTGTCCTGATGTGCCTTCAAGGGCTTTTCTCTTGCAAGATGAACCCCAACAGCTAGAGCTGCTACTGCTTTCTTCCACCATGTAACTAGAGCTCCCAGATGAACTCCCAACATTATCAAAAGCAGTAGATGTCCATTCTCTTTCTAGAGCAGATGAGTTATGGAGATCAGGGCCTATACTAGCTGCAGTAGCTGGCACATGACTAGCACTGCCACCAGTATATTCTTCATTTAGATTCACATTTTGTGGAATATGATTAGAGCTGGAACCTTGCAAATATATGGGCCCATTTCTACCCTGATTGGCACTCTGTCCATTGTGAACTCCTGCAGGAAAAATAATATTTGTTGATTCAATTTGCCTTCGTTCAGACCTTGGACCAGCCCCAGCATGAACACTATAAGAAGAAGGTGACCAACCACATTCCATTTTTATTCCATCATCATTAACCTGGTTTTCTGGGCTTAATCTAGAGCTGGGCTCACCAGAATTCCAAAAACTAAAACTCTGAACTTCAGTAATTGCATTGCTTTCCATTGCCCCACCAGAAGTTAATGCATAATTGGACAGCCAGGTTTCAGCTGGATCCAACACATTATTCAAAGAATTATGCTGAGTCATACTGGTATTATTGGGAGCAGATCCCTGATCAATGTTAACAGAGTCCAGGAAGGAGTTAATCGTACCCCCTCGACCTTGCATCAGGGCCAAAATCTAACCCCAAAAGAAATCTAGGAAGTGATAAACAATTATATCAAATTCCCCCAGGAACTCATCATTGAAGCTACAGAATCTCAGGCAGAAGAAAAATTGTTCAGCCAAGATAAGAGGAAAACCATCAGCTTAAACCAGTAGCACTTTATCTGAAATGAAGGAGATGTCAAAAAGGTCAGGCACTAGAGTTCTGAAACAGAAAGGTAAAAAACCAAAGTAATACAGAAGAAGATATCAGTAAAGTCAAAACAGGTACATACACTCCCAACATACAAAAAAGAAGGCTTCACAGTTCTTTAGCTTTATTGCGTGTTATTTAGTTTACTTTGCATTTGCATTGACTGTACGTTCACAAGTGAAATTCTTAGCCTAACATCTGATGATCTGAAACCTCAAAATAGCAACTGGCTCAGCCACAACAGATGTTGGTTGTCAAAGGAAGCTGCCAGCAGCAATAAGATTTTTTTTTTATCAGCACCAGCAGCAATAAGATTAAGTGTAACCAAATTTAGCTTCGTTTTTTTTTTTTTGTTTCACAGATTCATATTGAAAAAACAGAAGGAGTACTGGCAGCAGTAGTTTCTAGCACAAAATTTCAGTTAGAACCTACACAATGTCACTTACCAATTGACAAATTAGCACATAAAAGGGTTCCTATAAAATGTACACAAAAACGGCTCACTAACTACTTCCTATATAGAGAGACTGCAAGTGCTGATATGGAGGGCCTTCTCTCACTTTAGGATGTTCTAATTATCACTAACTATTTAACTTATCATATAAAATACATTACATGTGAGAAAAAGAAAGGAAAACAAAGGATTTGGTGAATGATAAGAAAACTAAGGTATTTAATAATCTCTGAACTGCTGGTCAAAAATAAAATGCTTTCACAAGGAAACATCATAAGATCAACATTTTTTGTTGAAATGATTCAAAGATCAATGGAGAAGGACGAGATTTTTAAGTCATATTCTCTTTTTGAGTTTTTATGATAAATTGTGGATTTAATTCTCTTTATTTTCCTTTTGTTAGAAATTAGCATGGTTTCTCCCATCCAATATGGCTTATTGGCAAGGATGTTAGACAGATCTCAGATGGTATTGCCAAAGTGGAGCACTCTCCACATCTACAGAATTCAAACTGCTAGCAGGGCACATTTTAAAGATATGTTGATCAAAAAGTTCTTGCATTCTTTCAATGGTTTTTCTAGGCACAAGTTAAGAGTGCATTTATTGCACCTTTTCTCCAGTAATTTGTATGGAAAGTCACAAAAGTAAACTTTGTTTTCAACACCAGTGCTGCATGCATAATTTTAATTGGGAAGCAGATAAAATTAAAGTCTTTTTTTTTTTTTTTTCATGAAAAAAGGTACAATAAATGCATTCTTAATCTCTGCTCTAAGGGCACAAGTTAGAAAAATCCTGCTTCAAATACTCAAAACTATTATCTTTCACTGACCTATAACTTTACCAAGGAAAAAAACATATAACAAAAATACTCCTTCAAGTATATTCCTTTATGATGGTAAGCTATTACCTCATATTTTCTACATATTACCCTAAGAACCAGCCTAAGAGCACAGACACTCATGTGAGCACATTATGGGCTTATATCTCTTGAATAAGAATATAAAGGCTTTCATAACAAATCCTTAGACCAAAGACCCCAAATCAACATAAAAACCAAATGCTGATAAAAGAACTGGAGATCAAAATGTCAATCATTGATCTCAACCAAAGAATGCAAGCTGAATTAGACAGGAACTCTACACACAGAATTTTGGCACATTGACAAACCATAAACTAAATGGAAAAAACAAAAACAACCGAAAATTCATAGCCGCTTATATACCCATAAAGCTTAATACTTCAGAGGAAACTAACAGTGAAAATCCCAAATTCCATTTCTTCCTTCATTACTCAATATTTGGCAAATCTGGCATCAAATATTTAACATGAAGATTCCCCAATCGGAATATTGGGACATAAATTTGAACAAAAGAAAATAAGATTAAAATCGCAAAATGCACCTAGATAAAATCCTATAAAATTCAAAAACTTTATCAAAAAAAACACAAGCTGGTTCAACCCCGATCCCTCCGATCCTCACAAAATTACACGATAATGTAATTAAGACAGTAAAAATAACCAGAAAATTCATGAAATTTCAAATGGGTCTTGCAGATTTTCCAAGATCAACCAGAGCTAAAAATATTTTTAAAAAAAATTATAAAATCAAGAGGATCACCTGGAAAAACCAAAGTCGATCAAATGGGTTGTCGAGACGAAAAGGGCATCTCAACCAGCAGCCGTCGTTGATGGAGAACGAGGGACCGAGGCGTTTTCTCCGATTCCTGATATTTTCCCTCTCTCTCTTCTCCTTCTTGGTCTCGGTTTCGGTTCCTGTTAACTTTTTATGTTCCTGATGAGAAAGAGGAAGAAGATAATTAGAAGAGGACAAGGTGAAAAAGGCTGAGCAATGGCTAAGACCTAAATAATTTTCGAGGAAATTTTTATTAATAAATTGCGTGGGGAGCAGGGGGACCGGTGGCCCGGCGGTGGGGGAGGAGGAGTTGGGAGGTGTCACTAGTCTCCTTAGTGGCTTGAGACACTTTGTGTATTTTTTTCCCCGGAGTTTAAGACATTTTGTTGTGCACGTATCTTTCATGCATTTGCATGGGTCCGCTTATAAAATGATCTTTTCTAATTGTTTTAATTTAATTTTTTTTTATAAAAAATAGTTAATAAAAAATTTAAAAGTAATGTATATTAATTCTGATTTTAACCATTTATTTGAATAAAAATTAATTAAAAAAATGGAGGGGAGGAGAGTGAAAGAGAACGGAAGAGAAGTGAAGCAAAAAAAAAAGTTGATATTAATTTTGTTTAAATGGATAAAAATAAAGAAAATGAGAGAATAAATTTTTA